ATTTCCTACTAAATCTGCACCACCACCCCCAACTCCAAAACAGGACTGTGGTGCTCCTAATGCAAAACCCTCTGCCTCAAAGTCTGATGAGACTGTTTCTAAGAAAATGGTAGATCTTGGATCACCACTAACTACTCCTAAGATGTCAACCACAGCTGTGGATATTAAACAGATTACACCTTCAGTTTCTCCTAAGATAGCCCGTATGAAGGACAAACCCGATGTTGCTAAGAAACCAGTTCCACCTACCTTGGCCCAACTTACTGCATTTCCAGAGATAAAAGCAGTGGAATCCTTATCAGAGTCTGTTAGTACAGTTACAGAGGTAAAACAAGGTGCTTCCGAAACTGGTTTGTCCGTCTGTCCACTCTGCAAGGTCGAACTCAACAACAGTCCACCCAACTTCAGTACCTGCACCGAATGCAAATGTTCTGTGTGCAACCTCTGCGGATTTGTTCCTGTGCCTCGCGCAGCAGCGGTAAGAGTAGTGAACATTTCCTTTGTCTTTTTTCCCCCTGCAATATATTGCATGCGATATACTGCATGACATGCAATGTAGTGTCAGTCAACCACTACATTGCATATAGCAAGTATTAACCTTGTATTGTGAACTAATGCAAGAACACTGAAAGTATGGTTGCTACAAATGCTACAACAAAATTTACCAACAGGATTATTGATAATACCATGAATTTCAATAGACTTGATGTTTTGAATTAGGGAAATTAATATAAGTTACAAAGGGTAGATGTTTAAGGTACCCTCACATAAATTTGGGTTAACCTTTCCCATGAATTGTCAGGAAATTTTAAGAAGCATTTTTAGTGGCTGGAACTTGGAACTGAAAGCATTCTCCACTGCTTAATTTAGTAGTTAGTTTTCACCCAGTGTATGTAAAGTAAGATCTTATTTTAAAGGAGCAAGATAATGGAAATCCTTAAGCTTCAACAACATATTTTCAAAATAGTGCAGTGAGTGTTTTCATTATCTGGGAACATAACAGAGAGTATCATAGATCTTTAGTATAAACCAAAAAAAAGTTATACAAATGCTACATTGCATGACTATGTGGAAGATGGCTCTTTAGGTCTTACATAACAGTTCAAGAGAGGACCTACCCACAGCAGTGAAAATGAATCACAGTGAATAAGTGTTGCGTAATAGCATTAGTGCAACAGGATCTGTGGCTAGTGTGGCTCAGAGAATGCAGAATCTTATGTTACTGCGAGAGATCCGAGATTGGCAAAGCTTGCTTATATGCCAATGGACAGATGTAATGAGGATTATGTATAGCGGAACAAAAACAAACCACAACGATGCAGCAGAGGAGAGTCCTTGAAACTAGTATTTATGCTATTGTATCTTCTATCAGTTTTTGTTGTTTGAAATTGTTTTGTTTTGTTACAATTTGGTACAGAAAAACACAAGTTACCCACAGACTCTACATTTAGAAACCGGCACCTTTATACCTACAGGAAAAAACTGTTGCTGTAGTCACAACATCAGCAGCTACAATAGCTGTAACAGAGTTGTGATTTTCACCAGTAGCAGCTTCACTTGTCTGTCATTTTCTGACTGCATTGATGGTTGGCTAGTTACGGTTAGGGTTAGGGCACAACCCTTACCCTAATCCTAACCCTTAATGTCTTTGTCTGTACAGGTTATTTATAGTGCCTGCTCGTTATAAAAACATTTTTATCTTAAATGCTTTAAACTCTGTCTAGTATCATTAGTTATTTCGGTAATGTTTAGTACTTTTACAACAGTGAAGTGTCTCAATGTCCTGCCTTGTTGAGTCTACAGGAACAGGCTGACATTGTTGTCTTGCTGGTATGAAATGATGGTGATTAGCACAAGAGAGTCAGAGGGAGCGATAGGGAAGTGGCATAGTATTGTTGGGGCATGTGGTTGCAGAGCAGGCAACTGCATTGCGCTAAATCTTTTGAAGAAACAGCTTGATCACAACTTGCATTTCCCATCTGCCCAATGGTCCCTCACCTTGCAAATTGTGATTTGTTTTTATGCCTGACCATACCTACTCCCTTGCATTTCTCTACTGCAGTCTGGTCTACAGCTTCATCCTGTAGTTCTTTTTAAGATAAGATGAAGATTAAGATAAAGAAGCCCTTTGTTCTTCCCACAATGAAAGCTAGACAGAAGATAGATAATTCATTATTCCCTTGGGAGTTCCCTTTCTCCCAGCAGTACAGCATCAAAACAAAAGGATTAACACAATAATAGATTCAATAAAATACAAACAGGAGTAGCAGTGAATAGGAAGAACCTTTAGAGTGAATATTAGTAGATTATTAGGTTAGTAAATTAGTAGTAGTAGGTTAGTAGATTGCAATCCTAATTATAATTCATTATTATATTTTTATTCTGTTATTATTGTTATATGTTAGAATTATGTATACTAAATTAAGTATACCACATTATCTTTATGGTATATATATATACAGTAGGCACGAAAAGTATTCAGACCCCTTTAAATTTGTCACTCTTTGTTTCATTGCAGCCATTTGCTGGACCATGTGATATTTCAGTTTTTCTTTTTTAATAAATTAGCTAAAATTTCTACATTTCTGTTATTTTCTGTCAAGATGGGGTTAACCCATCACCAAAGTGAAGAGTGGGCCGCTTATAAGCGCCCGGGGAGCAACCACTAAGCCCCCCCTGCCATATATATAAACAATATAAATTTATACAACTAATATAACATACAAAAATACATAATATTATATAGGCTAGATATAAGATGTACATATATACACATATACATACGCACACATGCACTACTTTCCGTACCCACTGTATATATATACACCTACACACATACTTATATGCATTATGTAAGCACATTTATACACATTATTTATGACGCACACATGCACATATATGCATTATATATATATATATATATAAATATATATGCAAAAGAGGATATATATACTGTATATATACACCTACACACATACTTACATATGCATTATGTAAGCAAATTTATACACATTTATATACATTATACACAGTGGGGCTCCAAGATATTAGCTACCCGTAATATGAGTTTTCCAAGATACAAGTAAGCAATGTTTGCAAGATTTTCCTCTTGATACGAGGAAACATCTACTTACGAGTGCTCAACTGAGCTCAATTTTTCACTCTCCACTATCGCACTCACTGTCCGTCACTTGGTTATTTTACCCGTTGCTTTATTTCTTTCTCTCTCTGTCTCTTTCTCTCATCTAAATCGGGTCCTCACTCCCAGTGCTTATCTTACCCTTAATGCCCCCAATACTCTGTCACGCTGTCCAGTGCTCAACTGAGCTCAATTTTTCCACCCTCCACTGTCGCACTCACTGTCCCTCACTTGGTTATTTTACCCATTTTTATTCTCAAACATATAGGTTAAAAAAAAGTATTTACCCATTGTTGCGGCTTTTTTGTTTGTTTGTTTGTTTAATTTATTGCAAATTTGTACAGGAATTAGGTCAATTTTAATTTTACATAAGAATATTGCCTAAACATTTTGTATGTATGTTTTTTTATTCACAGGATGAATGGCTGTGTCTTACCTGCCATACACAAAGAGCTTTGGGACAGCTTGAGTACTCTGGAGAAGAACCTTTAAATCTACCTGTACCTCACAAATCAGAGACTCAGGCCAAAGTTGCAGACCCCAAAATGGAACTTGGAGACAGAATGGAGAGAGAGCTTACACCTGCCACGTCAAAATCACTGCCCACACCTGTCCTTAAAATGAGTATACTTCAAGCGGATAACACCCTCATTAAGCATGAAACCAAAACATCTGATGTTTCACATGCAATGGAACAAAATCAGGAGCAAGGCGAGACAGATGAGAAATCTTCTGTGCCCGTTGACACCCTACCACAAAAGGTCACTGTACTACAACAAGATACTGTGCCAGACACTGAAGTTCACAAATCCGCACCAATTGGAACTTTGGAACAAAAACCAAAACTCAGGGACAGTCAAAAAGAAATGGCCTCTTCCCTGTCTGATTCCTCAAAAGTCCCAGTTAAAGCAACTGTTGCTGCAGATTCCTCCCCTACAGCTGTAGAAGTATTTGAATCAGTAGTTGTTAAGTCACTATCAAGTCCCTCTGCTAATCCAGAAAATATTTTGAAGGATGTGGTATTTAACGAACCTATCATACTGAAATCCTCAATAAAACCTTTACAGCAAGAGGATGTGCTATCAATGTCACAGGATCCACAGTTGGTTTTGGACAAAACACCTGGAAGACATGCAGAGGTGAAGACTTCCATCGATGAGGTGGATGAAAATATTGGTGGCAAAATGGCAGCATCACAGAAAGTAGAAGTGTCTACAACTGCCATCATTGGTCAAGTGAGTTTTGCAAGATTCAAATTATTTTTGTATTTCATGTTATTTCATTCCTTAATTTACAAAAAAATGTTCAGTTATCTGCCAATCTTTATATTAATGCTGCTGTATAAACACATCATTGCAATATATGGTTCACATCAAAGATTATGGTCTCTGTTATCAGTACTGATTAAAAGTAAGGTACACACTACGCATCTAAAGTATACATTGCCATTGTAGTGAGCAACAGCTGTTTTAGTTTAGGCTTAGTTGATTAAAAAGAAAAAACATTTTTTTTGTTAACTAAGTTTGAATTAGATTAGGTTACCAAAAAATGTTTTCTTTTTCTTTTTTAGAAAATGAGGTTTTGGTGTTTTTTTTAAATGGTATTTATATATTTTATATTAATGTAGTATTAGTGTAGCCAATACACCAAATTCTTATTAAATTATTATATTATGTAATTCATATCTCACCTACATTGGGTCATACAAATGCTTTGGGTTGCTTACCTTGTGTGAATCTCAGGATTACATGCATGCAGATGATGGCTCAAATTTCTCAGGTTCTTTCCCAACAGTCAAACATAACAGAAACTAGAATAACATACCTTTACAGAAAATGTAATGGGTCTTATGCAATTCACATTTTTTTGTTTGTGGTTGCCAAAAAAATTTCTTTTTAAAGTGAGCTACTAAAATACTTTTCTGAATTGTGTTGTTGACACATGATATAACTTAATTAAGTACACTGTATTGTAATGTATGTGGTAATTTATAGATGTATTTATAAAGTCTTCCATTTAAGTTGAGTCATAGAAAAATAATTACTTTGAAATAGATTTAACTGTTCGATTAAGTAAATACAATAATCATATTTTTGTTGCTTTTAGGACAAAGATGAAACCTGGAAAAAGCCAAGTAAAGAAAGCAACCTTTCTACACCATCCTGTCCACTTCTAGTTACAACACATAAAGAGAAGCCCACATACAAAGAAAAGGATCAAGATGATGATCAACCCCAAGTTTTCCCTGTATTACAGGGAACAAAAGAAAGGCTGGTGGTTGGTGACACACAGATCAAGGACATGGACGAAGAAGCATTTACACCAGTAAAGGCAGATGTTGATGTTGAGGAAAAACACCTTAGTGCTGAAGCAATGGATGAGGGCAGTGAAAGTGAATTGTCACCATCACCTGAATTGTCACCATCACATGAAATTAAGAGAAAAAAGCTCAAAGTGACAAACCTTTCATCCAGCAGCAAGGACAGCAAAACTGAAACTACTGACTCCTCTGCTGAAGATGCAGATGTTATTCAAAGGCAAATGATTTATACAAATAATGAAAGACAAATGTCTTTTTGGGCGGACGAGAAAGACAAGAATTTATCAAATGATGAACCCACGAATGTTAATATTGTGGATAATGCTTTGAAAAAAGTCCACTTAAGTCTTGACACTGAAACAGAACAAGATTTTCTCCAGGCAGTGTCCAGTAGTACTGTGGAAGAGGTTAGCCATGACGAAGAAAAAGAGAGCATCACAGAATCCCTGTCCAAAGGATCATCAAGTATTCAGGCATCTTGCTTCACTCCATTGTCTTCACCTACATCAGCCTCTTCTCTTGAAGAAGATGATGACAGCAGTCCTAGTCATAGTAAATTCAGTTGGGAAAAACATGGCAAAGGTAAACATAGGCAGCAACATCAGCCTCTCTCACCATTTGAAAACTCTTCAGAAGAGGAGGAGTTTAAGAAAGACCAAGATGAAGTCATGGCCCATGGTCATCCAGTGCCCTTACCTAATGATGTTTTAGGCACAGAGGACCAAAGTGAAATTCCAGGAAGAGCTTTAAATATTCAAACGTCTGAATCTAAATACTATTCCTGTATAGAATCAGAACCAGAACCAGAGTACAGAGTACAGAGAGGACGTAAGCCTTCACCAACAGTAATACCGTATACTCCTTCTGTGACAAAATCGCTCAAGAGTGTTGAGGAATCATATGAAGAATTATTTCAGAAGACAAAATGTATTCCTGGTGAGACCCCTCCAGACATTGAGCCGCTCTTTGGAGGAATGACAATTGAAGACTATCTTTATGAATCATTGGTAGAGGAGTCTGATATTAGACTGAGCGACTCTGAAGAGCGTACAGCTCATGATGACACCAGCTTAGAATCGCTTCAAAACCTCAGGTCACCGGGAGAAGTTTATAAAGAGATGATGCAGAAAAAAAGAGAACTCATGATGATAGAGGAAGAATATAATCAATCCCAGACTGCTATGGATATATCTGCTGAAGCTTCAGTCAGTGAGCCTCCAGCAGTTGCAGATGACACATGCGTGATTACAATACCAAGAGAAGAGACATTATTCACTGAAGAAACTGACAATCTTAGCAGTGAAATTTGTAGTGAGGTACCCATTAAGAAAAAGAAACGACCAGCTCCACCACGGCCCACTGATCCCCCCAAACGCACAGAAGTAACAGTTATACCATGTACTCCAAGTACATCAATATGTTTTGTGAGGCCAATGATTCCCCAAGACCCGGCATTCAGCAAGTCATTGTTCCCCATACCAGACCTCAAAATTACACAGTGTTCATCTGGTGAGGAAGAAGATGACAGCTTTGCAGATGACTATGTAGTCGCTGTTTCATCTGACATTACACCCAGCGATGACTCTGGGACTAAAGAAGAGCCATGCACAAGCCCACCTTTCTTTGAAACAGAGATAAATCCCTTATGCGTAGTTTGTGAAATTCCACAGCCCAAACCAATTCCGATTCCAATTTCAGCCCCAGAACTCACAACCACACCTTCACCTGTATCACCAGTATCACCCCCAACCTCACCATCCTCTCCAGATTCCATTTTGGTTTCAAATGCTACATACCACTTCCAGACTCAAAAGTCCTTGTCATCAGCTATACCCCATTTAGCTGAACCAACACTTCCAGTTTCTTTTGGACTGAATTCACCTTCAGACATCTCACAACAAATAACAACAGCAACATCAACTGTGGTATTGTCAAGAGAAGGCTCGGTTTCCCATTCTACTCTAGCTACCATAGTGACAATTCCAGATGTGATTTCTGATCCTACTAAATTCCAGGCAACCGCAGCTGGTGATGTTAGGCCTTCTGAATTTTCAAGTCAAGCCCAAGTTGAGATTCCATCTGGGCCAGTTGTAGTTCAAATGCCAGACTTGGTTTCATCCCCATCTCAGATGCCTGTTGAGACACAAGCTGTTATCCACACCTCAGTGCCAAGTCTTACACCACTTGTGGTTACAGCACAGCCTACTGCCCTCGTTAAGAATACATCTGTAGCAATCTCAACTCCAGTTTCGGCTCATGCTGTTACAACATCTGTGACATTATGCCCAGAGCCAGTGATTGTTCAGATGCCTGACCTTGTCTCAACAACATCTCCAATGGTTGCACAAACATCAATACCAGTTTCAGTGCAAATGACCTCCTCTGTTGGTGCCACAGCCAAAGTTGTACATTCATTCCCTGTACAACAGGTTTTTCCAACAAGCCCAGTTGTAGTTGCAGCTCAAGTTCAAACACCCAAGTCAGTTTCACCTGCTCTGGCATCAACAACTGTAGTCAAAAAGAAAGTCCCACCTCCACCTCCACCCCGTTCTACGTCAGTGTATTCACCCGAGCCTAATGCTGAACTGCCACTGGTAAAGACTGCTCAGGATGTCAACCCCAGCACGACTACTACGATCGCAACTACAATCACAGTATCCTCACAGCTAATGCAATCTGTAATTGTTGATAAACAACCAAGAATAGAGGATGCAAAACCAAACAATATGGTTGCACCTCACATTATGACCCCAACAGGAAAGGAGCATGTAGTCATTGTAGTACCACATGAGGAAAAGATATGTATACTTGGGCAAAGTCCGAGGAAAAGATATGTATACTTGGGCAAAATCATCATGATGTTGATAGCACAGGATCAGTAGCTACAGATTCAGGATTGGATATATCTAGTGCAGGTTCTTTACTGTCACCTAAACTGTCACCATCTCAACTTCTGCCTAGGGTTATGACAGAGACAAATGCTGTGGACACAGTAGAAATACCTGTAGTAGATACACCACCACCTTATTTGATTAGATTACCAAAGTCAGCAGTTCATCCAGTGTCTCCAGGTTTTTCCACTGGAGTGACTACATCACAGGGAGCTTGCAGTAGACCTCCACCACCTATACCACCTAAACCTATATTAATTCCAGCTGGATTGGTGTTCAGTCACAAGCCAGGAGAGAGTGTGAAGCCACCACCTTTTTCTACAGGATCTAAAGCTGCAACACTACCCAGATCCAAAGAACCGCCGAATGCTCTGTCTTTTAGCTTGACGCGACCTGTTGAGTCAAACTTAGGAACATCATCTCCTAAGTCACCTGTGTCTCCAAGGCATTCTAGAAGTTTGCAAACATATGTAGTAATAACTCTTCCTTCTGAACCCGGCTCACCAACAGAAGTTATAACAGTCCAAGCACCTACTAGACGAGAATCAATTTCATCTACATGTGTCTCAGGGATCCAGAGGACAACTATTGAACAAAAACCCCATGCTGAGACGTTTTTGGCACAAGCAAAAATGCACAGAGCCTCTATTCCCTTGGTAAGGCAACTACCTACTATACCTGTACCACCAACTAAAGCAATGGACCATGCCTCACCTTCTGTGGGAGTTGATGATCAAGTGAAAAACGAGAGAGACTCCCTGTCATCTTGGGTACATCCATCACCATCTGCAGCTGAAGTCGTGGGTACACGCATCCAAGCGCAGACTGTACCTATTCCAATAAAGAAACCGAATGTACTTAAAGAACAGTCAATTACCTACCCACTTCTACCGCCTAAAACAATCTCTGTAGCTATTTCAATCCCTCCCTACACCGAGGATAATATTCAACCTCAAACACATAAACCCGGAGTAGGACCACAGTCTTTGTCATCTGCTTTTCAGCATCAAGTTATTTTAACAGATGCAAAAAGTGACCCGTCACAACTATTTTCCTTACCTCAGGCAACCTCATTATTTTAACAGATGCAAAAAGTGACCCATCACAACTATTTTCCTTACCTCAGGCCCCGGTACAAACTGAATTGGTCCAATCACAACCACTGAAACAAGATGTAATTGCACCACTGCAATCCTCACACTCAGTGGTAAAACAAACCATATCAACTGCCTTCCAGTCAACTGTTCCTCCTACACAGGATATATTCCAAACACAAGTGCTCCAAAAAGAACTGATGGCTTTTCCATATATTCCAGAGGAGTCTACCAAATCTTTAATGCTTGGAAACGATCAGCATATCCACACTGAAGAGCAGCCGCATGAAATCAAAGCAGTTAGTAGCACTATGGGACATATTTTACCCACGGACCAATGCACCGTTGCAGAACTTTCATTATTATCACATACTTTCCAACCTTTAGAAGAAACAAAGTCACGTGTTGTTAATGAAGCTCAACAAATAGCAATGCAGCCAGAAGGACCTCCTGTTACTTATGTACCACACGCAGTCATTTTACATTCTTCTGTACCACAAGAGGTCACAGCATTGAGGCATGAAAGGGAAACTCCTACTGAGGTTGTAACCGAAATGATATATCAAAGTCGAACTCCAGTATCACCATCCATGCCAGTCACAGTTATGACACCTAAGGAAACTATTGAAGAGAAAAAGACAGTGCAAACAAAAATGTATTATCTTGAAGAAGATGATATACCCACACAGGTTGTTATATCTGAGGCATCTGCAGCAATCGAAAGACAAACCATGACCATGCATCAACCAGTACAAAAGGAACTAGTAGTGCACATTCCACCTCTAGAGGAAAATCATACGGAAGAATGTAGAGTTTATGTTCCCTGTAGGAGAGAGTCTATTACTTCAGTAAATCAACCTCAAGTGATATCCTGGGAATGTGAAAAGGATCAGCCTTTGGGGATAATAAGCACCGGGACAGTCAACAGGAGAACTTCAATACCAACATCACAGGATATTTTAGGGAATATCTCTTTGGCTCCAGTAGCGACCACTGCAGTTGAACAGGATTCTATTAAAACCCAAGAAATGTGTAGACTAGAAAATATTGTTCCAAATGGAAGCAACATATATTCTTCAATTTCTTCTTTAAGTAAATTCCATGAAACCCAGTTGACTACCAGTGACGTCCAAAGTACAAGAATTTCTGTTGTTCATGAAGGACTGCCACAAGATTCAACACAAAGTGCAGCAATCACTGTGCAACCAGATGTAGCTCAAATTTCACCTCTTCCGAAACAGAATGTAAAGGGAATGTATCCCACCGATGTCATTGATTTACGTACAATTAGAGCAGGGATAAAAATGACTGAAAAGGGAATGGATCTTACGCAGCCTGACTCACATCACCACTCCTTTTCAAGTGATTTCAGTGGACGCCCAATCACAGCAGTGCAGCCGGAGATAGTAAATCTTAGTTCATACCCTGTCGCTTCCAACATATTGTCTGTGGTCACAGACAACATCACGATAGTAACATGCACAGCCACAATTGCCTCATATAACAGAGCTGCTGTGGAGAAACCAGACAAATTGCAGACAGCAGTTAAATCGTTGCCTGTCTCTCTAACAACAAGCAAGTCCTTTGAGCCCCTTGCACAGATCATATACAGACCTGTGAATTCTCCACCTGTGGTCAGTACTGTGACAACTACAGTCCAGGACATACCCATTAATTTATCCTTTGGAACTCTTGTTTCACCAAAGCTGAAACAACCAAGTGGAAGTTCTGTTCTTTTTCCAGAAGCCACTGGGGCCATGGATCTATCAATCTACAAACCAACGAGAACTATGATTGCATCATTCAGTACCAGCCCAGGCGTAATAACCACAATTTTGGAGGACGACGGTACGCCTGTTGACCTTACGGCTGGTAGGAGGACTGTTTGCTGCGATGTCATTTACAAACTCCCTTGTACGAGAAGGTGTAGTACACAACCCCAAGTTATAACCCAGCCAGAGACACATGGTCATTACCCGTATAATGCAGAAATGTATGGAACCAAAGATGTCAAACGTTTAAGTGAATCAGAGAGCTTCCGGAACCAGGAGGAAGGCCCTTTACATGATGCCAAGAATAACAATAACTATCTCTGTGATGTACATCAGACAATGGACTTCAATGCTTCTTCTGCAGGCAAGTACCGTATTTGATTTTGTTTTAATTGCTTTTAAATTTTGCATGAATTAATTTTGCTTTCTTAAATTCTAAACGTTTATCATTTTTACTTTTATCTAAATATTGTGTTTCGATTGAATATTAACATGCATGTTTTTTTTTTCTTGACACAGATGCATGTGTGTGCCTGCATGTGGTTCCTTAATATTTTGGCTTTGCATGCTGCTAGCCAAAAAGAAACTGCAAATAAGCATGTCTTTGTTTCAACATTTTTCTTAATTTACATTACTCTGTATTTTAAAATATGTTAAGTTACCTATGTATTTCTCGACTTATTATGACAGGTACAGCTCTAGACTACACAAGTAAAGCAACTGGAGTCTACCCCGGAAAGACATCGACTTCAAACTCCCTTGTTCCAGCAGGTGGTTTGGGTGTAAATGGTGTTGTAAGGACCTCCAACGGAATCGCTTACGCTTCTTTTACTGCTACAGTTCCATCTACATATGCAGTTACAACTCAGCCAGGCTCTATCTTCAGTACGACCATAGCTCCTAAATTAGCAGCTCAGACCCAGGCATTACCACATCCATATGGCTTCATTCCAACTCTAGACACAGGACACGTAATTCCTTTCGACACAGAAATACCTGTTGACTTTTTACCAATGGCTTTGACTGACATTATCACTGGCTATCCAGAAATGTACTCCGATGTGACCCTGGAAGCAATTGCTGCCTCTCTTAGTGTTTTAGCGTCTTCTCCAATACTCCCTGGCCTAGACAACACTAAGATGGCCAAGTATCAGTTGGAAAGAGAAATCCTCGAGCTTGAGAAGCTTAAACAACTATGCCTTGCAGAGGAGCTGGAATGGGAGAGGCAAGAGATTCAGCGTTACCGTGAACAGGAACAGTTGATGGTACAGAGGGAACTTGAGGAACTTCAGGCACTGAAACAGCAGCTTCTTTTGCAACAAGAGGAAGAACACCATGCACACATAGTAGCCCAGCAGGAGACCTATGCCCAGCAAAAAGAGCAGCTGCAGCAAATCCAGCAACTCCAGTTGCAACTTCAGCGCCAGCTGGATGAGCACTATGGTATTAGTAGTTTGACAGGAAAACTCCTAGATGCCAAATATGCAGGAGTGGGGGATAGTGGCCAGTATTGGCCAGTTAAAGATAAGCCTTCAATGCCATCAGCTAGAATGCAGTCACAGAATAACAATGCTCAATTGAGTTTAGAAAGAAAGCTTCAAGCTGACGAAGACACAGGCAAAAAAATTATTGACAGTGGAGTTCAGACAGATGACGAAGATTCGGCTGAAAAACACCATGCAGGGAAGAGAAAGAAAATGCGGAAAAGTGTCGAAAGCTCAGCTCAGTCTGATGATGAAGATCATGAAAAATGGGATGCTCCTACAAAAGCTCGTCGGCGCTCCAGAAAACACAGTAATGATGGGAAACATGGCTCAAAGGTCTCCAGCATTGCAGTCCAGACAGTAGCAGAAATATCGGTCCAGACTGACCACTCTGGAACTTTTAAACATCCCATCGTCCAAATAGATAATAAGGTCCAAATAAATAAACACATCTCGGCTTCTGAGACCTCTCAGAGAGGTGGCAGTTTAGGCTGTCAGACAAATACCGATAGAAGATCCAACGTGGTGGGCTACAACACACACCTTTCAGCAGAATTCCCAGCAAAGTCTAGAGTTTTCTACAGTACAATCTCCCCTTCATCACCTGAAAAGTCACTTGCAGGGGAAAAATTGCCAACAAGAATGTTGAAGACTGGACAGAAATCTTTATCTGACCCAGTGTCCCTTAGTCCTTCTACAGAGGACAGGATGGTTGGATACACTGCAGACATTTATACAGTAAGTATAAATGAATAATATATATATATATATTAATGAAAAAAGAACTTGTGACACATAGAAACCACTTTCCTGTAATGGCGACTCCCATCTGAGTTGCAACCACATGCTTAAATAACTCTCAATTCATAAAACATATTGTACTTAATAAGTGTTTTGAATATGAGGACTTCAAAATACCAGTAAAATAAATTTGGGAAAGGCAAGTTTTTACACTATGTCCCATCACATTTTTTGCATTTATTCTTCTACTCATTTGGAAACTAAAGATACGGATTGTTATGTTTGCCTGGTTTTATTTATAACATTAATAACAAATAAGCTACATAAAGGAAGAAATTTTCTGTGTGAGAGGTTGTGTTCTGTGTTGTCCTAATCTTTGGTTGCTTGCTTCCAAAAAGACCAATACCTAACGCTAAAGGTTTGTCAACTTTTGACAAGTTGGTAAAGGGTTTTTGAAAATGTGCTAAAAAGATTTAAATAGTATGTTGTCTATGAATATAGTTTATTTAATGATATATTGTGCTACGTTACAGGGCAGAGGTTCACCTTCCAGCACAGGAAAAAAGGTGAAACGAACATTACCAGACCCCCCTCTTGAGGACGAGTCTCTGATAGGAAGGTCTGGCTATAGCAACAGCTCAGCACGTCGCCGCATCGCCCGCAGTACAACAATGGCTCGTGCAAAGATTCTGCAGGACATTGACAAGGAGCTTGATCTTGTGGAAAGAGAATCTTCCAAACTTCGCAAGAAACAGGCAGAGCTAGATGAAGAAGAAAAGGAGATTGACGCCAAGCTGCGGTGAGATTCCACAGTGTTTACAGAGTAAACAGTGTATTTTCAATAGGATGCTTTTTATCTTCATTATGCTAAATTAACCCATTCATCACTTGTGCTAGTAGTAGGGATGTTTCGATTTAATTTTATGGTTTCGCATGATTTAGTACTGTACATTTAAAACAAACAGGAACAATATATAAACAGTAACGAGAGTACTGGATAAAAAAATGGGTATATAATCATCAGTTATCAACCTATCTTTTCCTGGTTGATAATTATTAATATGCTGTTTTTTCACCAATATCATTGCATTCATCCCTCTGCTGTATTCCTCGTTCCTAATTCATCTGCATGATTCCCATCTCACCTCGATAGCTTATGGGCTAAAAGGCTGCCTTGACAGTGAGACTTCATCACACTCACACATAGTAAAAGGTACAATGGTGTGAGGAAAATATTTGGTTTTATATTGTATTGTAAGCCAAATTATTTGCACTTGATTTCTACAACTTTTTTTTTTCCTCATCAACTATAGGTACTTGGAGATGGGTATCAACCGGCGTAAGGAGGCGCTGCTAAAGGAGAGAGAGAAGAGAGAAAGAGCTTATCTACAGGGGGTGGCAGAGGAAAGAGATTACATGTCTGACAGCGAGGTTAGCAACATTAGAGGAACAGGGGGAGATAGCCTGGAGAGACCACGGACCGCTCCACAATCAGAGTTTGATCAATATATTACCCCACATACAGAAGCGGACTCTCAGTACAACACTCTAACAAGTCCGTACTCTCACTATGCCCACTATGTCCCCCAGACCCAAACTACAAGCCAGTACACCCAACAGAATCTGTACCAGCAGCAATCCCTTTACAACCAACAAGTGTCTCCTTACGCAACTATATCCCTCTCCCAAACGCAGGCTCAGGCAAGTAGCTACCAGCATGCGTTGCTTTTGCAGCAGGGAAAACAGCGACAAACCACGCTGTCTGACTTAGAGCCCAAGATCACTACCAATTATGAAGTGATACGCAATCAGCCGCTGATAATCGTACCAACCTCTGCAGAAAGTGGATATGGAGTGGCTCATTTGGGAGGCAAGTACGGCTCTTTGGATTTAAGGCTTGGGATAGAGGAAAGGAGCATGGCTTCCAGTCCCATGTCCAGCATTTCAGCAGATTCTTTTTATACCGATATTGACCAGCATAATGCAAGGAACTACGTGCTGATTGAAGACATAGGGGAGCTCACTAAGGCTTCAGCTGGGCTGAGCAATTCCGTCATGGGGTCTGGATTCAATCTGCCCGATAAAGAATTGTCTAAAGCAGACAGACTACTCAGAGCAGCAGAGGTCAGGCGCACAGCAGAGGTAAATGCCATATTGTTACAAACTTCTGTAATTACGTTTGTTGTTGTTTCATGTTATTGTTTTCTTTTTCTCTCTATTTATCTCTTTCTCTTTCTACTCCCACTCTCTCAGAATAGACAGATAGATAGAAATGTATTAATCCCTCTGGAGTTCCCATTGGGAAATTAAGGTATATATTACAAGTGTAACATAACACAGTATGTACCTCTGTAAAGCAATCAGAATTCTGCACATTCAGGTAAAAAAAATGCCAAAAGACATTCAGTTATTTTTTAACTTTATTAACATGCTCCAACACAAGCTTACACATGTTTACAAAATATTGGTTCAATGGATCAAAATCCATGGCAGATGTTGAAGTTCTTAAATTAATAAAAAAAACGTCATACATTTCATACATTTTAGGAGATCTCAGATCTCTAGTTTTTAAAGTGAGTTATCAAGCTTACACATGTTTACAAAATATTGGCAATCAAAATCCATGGCAGATGTTAAAGTTCTTAAATGAATGAAAAAATGTCATACATTTCATACATTTTAAGAGATCTCAGATCTCTAGTTTTTTAAGTGAGTTATCTTTTTTTTCTTATTTTTCATTTTAGCGATAAAACTGACAAGATGCCAGCTTAGTTTGTTGACACTCTCTGTCTGTCCAGTTTTGTGTCACTAGTTGCATTCCTTTAACTTAATTCCAAAGCTTACTACAGATATTGATGTTTTTTTTTTAGGTGGCAGATTTTTTAGGCACATCCCGTCTTCAAAGTTATGGAAAAGGGGAAGATGACACGATAGAGGAGCCTTACGAGCTAAAACTGCTGAAGCAACAAATCAAACAGGAGTTTAGACGAGGAGCCGAGGGACTCGAACACTTAACAGGTCTCAGTCTACCATCGTATCTCCCCAGTGACAGCAGTTTTCGCCACTTTTCTAAAGGAGAGAAATACACCATTGGCAGACTCACCCTTGAAAAACAGGCTGCAAAGCAACTTCCAACAGCTGCGCTTTACCAGAAACAGATGAAAAACAAAAAGGGTCTAATAGACCCTAAAGCTGTAACAAAGTTTTCTCCAATTCAGGAGAATAGGGACCTGGAACCTGATTTTAGAAATTACATGGGATCTGGGGCATCCGTTGCAGCTGCTAGAGCCCGGTTATTTCAGGATGAGATAACATTTGGTCTAAGAAAGAATTTGTCTGAGCAACAAAAATATTTGGGCTCTTCTTTGGGACCCAACCTAGCTTGTTCTCTAAACCTTGGCTTTGGAGCAAGTACTGGCCAGGATGATGCGACTTACCCAGGTGGCACTTGTTCTCGACCTTCCTCCCGCCCTTCCTCCCGTCCCTCCTCTGTCTATGGTTTGGATCTATCCATCAAACGGGACTTATCAAGCTCCTCACTTAGACTTAAAACAGAGGGAGAGGTTCTAGATGCTGCCTTTGCTCCTGGAGCAGCAAGAGCAAAGCCGACAAGTTTACCAATCAGCCAGAGCCGCGGCCGTATACCAATTGTGGCTCAGAATTCCGAGGAAGAAAGTCCTCTGAGTCCAGTGGGGCAGCCTATGGGCATGGCCAGAGCCTCAGCTGGTCCTCTTCCTCCAATCTCGGCAGACTCCAGGGATCAATTTGGGTCAAGTCATTCTCTGCCAGAGGTGCAGCAACATATGAGGGAGGAATCTCTCACACGTGGATTTGATCGAGACATTGCATTCATCATGGATGACTTGCAAGGTGCCATGTCTGACAGTGAAGGTAAAGGGAACCTCAGAACCTTGCAAAAACTCGACTCTGTGAAACTGCTTGTACTGCATGCCAATGGTTTGTGAACGCATTCATTTGGTTTACTAACCACAATTGTGTTTATCATTTGTCTTTTAATTTGGTCTTTATAAGTTCTATTTTTTTTTATTCTGTCATGTAGGGATGCACAATATGGATATTTTTTCAAACAATACAAATAACTGTCTGATCCTCATGGCCAATAGTAATACAATAACCCCTGACCCACACTGCCGCAAATTTAAATATTATTGAGAGCCTGATAACATGTATATTTTTATCTGTACAAACCATTGTCTGAGTTGCTGCCACCTAGTGACTGGAGGCTTGTTATCATTCAAGCATCACAGCAGTGGTACACTTATGTCCAGCGTGCCATATTCCATTGGAACCCCCTCACGTCCCATCCTGGCACCTCACCGCAGCCCCCCAGAGAGGCCCACCCCACTATTTGAGAAGTACTGACTTAGAGTAAGAAATGCTGAGATAAAGGTGTGACCAATCTTTTTTTCAAAAGTTCATTTAAATATTTTGTTAAAGCAAAGAGTAAAGTAAAAAGTAATAATAACAGTAATAATAATAGTGATTACCGATAACATTGGCCAACCAATATTATTGGCCGATATTAGCATAATTATGTAATATCTGTAAGAATCGTTTTCCGTTTTTTTCTCCGATAACGATTTGTCAATCAATTGTTCATTCTGATTTTCATTAGGCAGTATTGACGATAATCCATTGGCAACTGCTAATATTGTGCATCCTTAGTATCATGATAAATTAAACATTTGTACTTTGCATGCTTATTAGTACATTAATATAAATGTATGTGTGCAAGTATGTGATTGGTTGGTTGGTAAATTCTGCATGCATTCTTTGTTCCTTTCACAACTCGTCTCATCCTTGAACTCTACTTTTAGTTTGATGTAAAAGCATTTGAAACAAATATTTAATTTATATATGGTATACATATACTATACATACATACAGTACATACGTATATACATACATACATACATGCATACATGTGATTGTGTATCACCCGTAGCATCAAATAATGCTTTCATACATTGTGTATTTTAAAAACATACACACACATATATATCTTGATATATTTTTATATATTGGCGTGGAACAAGCGCAATATTCGTGGTTTGATATTTTTTCTGATACAAAAAAACAGAGAAGTTTACATGGTTTGATATTTTTTCTGATACAAAAAAAAAAACAGAGAAGTTTACATTCCTTTATTAACTTGTTTCAACTCAAAAGTAAAGTTTTTCATTGAAATTAAATATATCTGGTTTGAGCTATACCTGCCCACAGCAGGACATGAGTTTGAACCATATAAAAAAAAACAGCACATTGTAAAAATAATAAAATAAATGCATCTGATAGATCATCCATCTTCCGCGGTGTATTCTTAAATAAACAAAACCTAGCTTAATCAGCTTAAAAATAAATATTATTAGTTATCAAATTTAAATAATCAATTAACAGGACCCATTGTCCATTCTTCATTATAGAACAGAACACCTTGAAGACTTTTTTTAAGGTGGCATGCCCGGACACCGTAAAGATTCTTTACGGCAGGGGTGTCAAACTAATTTGGTTCACTGGCCACGTACAACCAACTGTAATTAGATGTCAAGTGGGCCGGACCAGTACATTCATAACATAATTAATTATAAATTACAATAAGTCCATATTTCTCCCCTTTGTTTTCATGCAAAAAGTGATAATTGATAATTATTGTTATTGATAGATATTTAATATTCATATTTAAAGAAACAAAAAAAATGTACGTTTCAAAAATATTTAAAAATAGTACAATTTAGAAGCATTAACTAAAAATGCTTATTAAACTATTTGTTTTTTCTTTTAAATAATAATAATAATAATAATAATAATAATAATATTATTAATAATAATAATAATAATTAATCTCACCCCTCGTGTTCTCTACACTGTGTATAATTTGGTTAGCATTTTGACCGTATTAGCTGGTGATTCCCCCTTTTCTGCCAAAACGTATCAAGTGTGTGTTAAGGGTTTATCTTGTTGCCACCCCATTTATCCATACAGCACAACAAAGTGTTTGTGCAACTGTGTGATCATGCTCATAGTTACTACTGAAAAGCCAGTGATAAGTATTATTATTATAGACTATTTCATTTCATCAGGATTGAAGACTGTTAGATCCAAACTCTCTCACGGTCTGTCATTTATTTTGCGTTACCTCTTTGTATGTATATGTTTCTGTGTTTTATTTCACTTCTATTCCTATATCATTTCTGCATCCCTGCATGTTGTCTGATTCATGTTGTGTTTCCATGTTAATAAAGTGATTGTTTTGTGCTTGGTGATTGTTGCTGTGGATGCCTTGTTGCTGTAAAAGATAACCCTTAGTGATTCAGCAAAAATGATTATCTCTCTCATTTGCAAATACGTGTTTGGGAGTGTGAGGCTGAATTAAACAATTTCCTCTTTGCACAAAATACAAACGATGTATTATAAAACAAGGTCTGATTGCGCAAGACAAAAATGCAACAGGGGGAAATTAAACCGACTAGGTTTTGCGCGGCTGTATTTTTTTTTTTTTTAATCCACTCACTAAGAAGTACCGTAATTTCCGGACTAGCTGAATATAAGCCGCACCCACTAAATTTAAAAAGGAAAAAAAAAATATTTGTACATATATAAGCCACAGGTGTCCACTTTGTAACATGGGATATTTACACAGAAAGATTGTTTTTCACTTTTCATTAAATAAATGCTTTTTTCCGAACAGTGACTGTAACACGGCTGATTACACGTTAGCTCTTTCCTGCTTCAGCGCCCCGAACATAGTTGGAATGCACAGGGGAGACTTAGTGATCTGCTCACGGGGCTGAAGCTATCATTAGCTCCGGGGCTAACTCCCTTCACTCTGTGCTTGTCTGCAGCAGAGGTAAACAGAAAGAGGGAAGTTGGGGTCTTTATTATCAGCCGCACCGAGCACAAGAGAACATAAACAGTGTTTTAACAGCTCCTGTAGAACCAACTCACCCTTCAACATGACAGGGCTCAAGCTGCTCTTAACATTCACTACCACTCTCTCTCTCTCACGCACATATACGCACACAGCCATTCACAGACAGACATTGTATAACACACAGTAGCCTACCAAGTCATTGATCGCTAGCGGTATGAACTTCATTAGCCCATAAAAATCCATAAATTAGCCGCATCATTGTTTAAGCTGCAGGGGTCAAAGCATGTGAAAATAGTAGAGGCTTATAGTCCGAAAATTACGGTAATGTATTTACCGTAACTTTTTTTTTTTCATACATGAGGATCCAGTGTTGCTAGGTTCATTTTAAAGTGTTCATCTGCCTTGATTACAGCACTAAGTGAGTCCACGCTGGCCTTGAACAGAGATGAGGCCAGAATCTTTCATGAAAAAAAGACACAGTAGAGTATCATATTGGTACTGAATAAATTCATCTCACTGGTACTGTAATAACGCGGTCATCACTAATGCTTTACATTCAGTTTCTATGTACAGTACATGTCTTTGAATATATGTGAATATCAACATACAACTGCTAATACATTAGGTCTGCGTAAACATATATAAAATGTCAGCTCAAATAACTTTGTTTACAAATGGTATTTTTTATCTATTTATTTATTTATTTTTTGTTTTATATATTTTTATAAAACTCTGTACCCCAGCTGGAGGCCCCAACTGGAATATAGAAGGTGAGGAAGCATTTAGTTCCTATGTTAAGATGCCTCCATGCCACATGTCATAGCTCTGGAGTATCCACCTCAATTGGATAATTTTGCAAAGGAGACTCATTCTGGAATGTTCCACACCTCAATAGTACACAATACATGTCATTTAACAGACGTGCGCCTAATGACTTGTCAGCTCCATCTTGCAATGATAGATGTATTTTGTGTCATTTACTTTATTGTAATCCGTTAAGTCAGTTATCATATTTGGAATGTCTGCACAGTACCGTTTTTTTTCCAGACTATGAGTCGTAGTATAGGTCTCACCTATACAAAAAAATCATATATAAGTCACTCCAGAGTATAAGTCATTGTCGAAATAACATGTACATTTTATTCATAAAATGTACATGTTATATGCGTACATACTAGTACACAAGCCCAGAGTGCCCTCTAATAGCTGTCAAGTGTGAAAGTAACGAAATTGTAAATTTTCAGTGCTACAGTACAGAGTAGCAGATACTGGTACACAACCCTAGCAGCTGTAAGTGTGAAAATAACAAACGAGAATTTTTTTTATTTTAATATATAAGTCACACCTGAATATAGGTCACAAACCCAGTCAAATGATGAAAAACGTACTTATAGTCTGGAAAATATGGCAATACAGTATGCATACAAAACCCATTTTTAACATCAATTTTTTTTTTTTTTGGTCCATATATTTAAAGACATTATCTAAAATAAAAAAAATGAAAACATGAAATTGTTAAATTGATTTTTCGCTTTCTGGATGTAAGGTTTAAATAGAAATTTTAGATCCCACAAAACAACTATAATTAAAAACTTCTCTCATTCCTCCCTTTTGTAAAGGGACATTATGGACATTCAATTGACCAAAACTGATAAACAGAATTCCATACACAGCAGCCATATCAATTACCGCATAAGTAAAAGCATGGCATGTTATCATAAGCATGACAAGCACAAAAAGGCTCATACGTCATGGTGTTAGAGGTCATTCAGTGACACGGATGTCTTTATACTTTGTTGAATTAAATGTTCTGGTAGAAGCTGGGTAGGAATGCATGTATGACATATAATTCCAAAGTATGTGCTGTATGTGTAGTGCTTGAATGCAGCCACTCAATGATTGTGTGTACATAGCTTTTAATTACAACCTCTCCCTACCTAGCCTACCATCTAAGGAGAGAGGACACAGACTGGTTTGACAAGCCAAGAGAAGGACATCTTCACAGTGGAAATGTAATTGATCGGAGACAGGTGTGACTCAACGTTGTCTTCTGTTTCACGAAGCAATGCTTCTAAAATGAACATTTTGGAAAACTTGAAAATAATATTTGGTTTCACAATGTCTCTCAGATGAAACTGGTCTCCTACTCATTCCCTCACACTTGTATCAAGCTCAAAAGAGACCCATTGGATATAAGGGTGTCAGGTATTTAAATCATATAAATCATGTTAAATAGTCATTTACACGATGATTTCTTTTATTATATTGGTTTTCATTTAACTGTCCGCCAGGTAATGGCCTTGGAGTCTGTGTTGTGGGGGGGAAAGAGATTCCTGGTGGTCGAGGAGAGATCGGAGCCTACATTGCCAAGGTGGTTCCGGGGGGTCTGGCAGAACATACTGGAAAAGTTGTTGAGGGTAAGAGACAAGTTAACAATGGGAAATTTCACTCAGTCAAATAGCATTCCATTTTTTTTCAAGTCAAATTATGAACATACAATCTGACATGTCTTTTTATTTGACCACGTTGCTTGATTTAGGAATGCAGGTGCTGGAATGGAATGGAGTCCCTTTGATGGGAAAGACTTATGAAGAAGTGCAAAGAATCATGGGAGAACAATGTGCAGAGGTGGAGCTCTGCCTAAGACTGTAAGTGATTGGTTGTAGTTGGTCACCCCCTAAATACCTGTCACATGTTTAGTCACATTGCGGTTTTCTCTGTACCTTATTCCACGTCCTTTGTTTCAGTGGCAGTTTCACTTTTAGATATCATGACTGTTGAACACTAGTTGATATTTTATGATACATTTCTTGTATGGTTTTAAACAGAGACTTAAACATGCTGTCAGACCCTGAACATCCACAAGTCCTGGAGCATCTTGTCCAGCTCAAGGCTGGTGGGTATAACGAAAAGGTTTTGGTGTATGTTTTGATCACGTATGTCAAACTGAAGGCCAGTGGGCCGAAGGTAGCCCACCACATAATTTTCTGTGGCCCACAAAAGCTTATGATGTGTATGGTTGCATAAATTTACATTTGTTTACCAAAACACAAATCTCCGTTCAGTAAATGTTTATCTAGTTTGGCCGACAACTTAGATTGTATTTTGAATTTTGGCCCCCTTGCGTAATTGAGTTTGACACCCCTGATTTAGATGTATGCAAGCCTACGTACAGTATGTTTATTTTACATCTATCTGTTGACATTTACTATGAGCATTTTTTTTTTACAAAAGGTGGTCTGCAGTCACCAGGAGTGGATCCCAATCAGTTGGCTGCGGAGCTGCAGAAGGTTTCCCAACAACAGGCTCCTAGTGGGGCCGGCATTGTGCCTGGAGGTTTAGGAGTGCTTTCTGCATTAGAGCGTTCTGCTCTTCTCTACTCTGGAACTGGATCCGCTGCCTCCAGTGGAGTACCGAGCCCTGGTCGGCCAACATCCCCAGCCATCGACAAAAGGCAGCGTCACAAGGTAGTTTTCATTAAATATAGTATACAGCATGCACTTGTTGTATAACCAACTCATGCGTCTACATGACAGGGCTCAAACTGCTCTCGTGCGCCGTTTACAGACAGACCTAGCCTACCAGAAAAGTCATTGATCGCTAATGGGATATACTTTGTTAGCTCGTAAAAATCCATAAATTAGCCGTATCATTGTTTAAGATGCAGGGTTCAAAGCGTGTGAAAAAGGTAGCGGCTTATAGTCCGGTAAGTACAGTAATTCGATTACAGTTACTTTCCTTCAGATAGGCTACCGTTACTGATCTGTGAATTTGTTTGTGGGAGTGCTCTATGACAGTGTTGTTGCGGTGTGGCATCAGCGGTAACAGCTGAGAGTGTGGAGGCCGGGAGAGATCAGGACTATGGAGCATTTACTGATGAAAATACCGACGTTACTTGGAGTTTCACGCTGACAAAATCATTAGTGTCCGCTGTACAAAAATTGGTAGAGATATTTGTTGAGAAACACCCGGATCTCTGACATCCGCTGACATGAATATAGATTTAAGAGCAACAGGACTTAGTGCAACTGAACTAAAAAAAGCTCATTTTTTTTAGGTACCTATATTGTTGAGGACATGTTGCAAATTTCCACCGTAGACAGATTCCGCATTTGTTACATGTTAATAATTTGGATTACAGCCAGGAGAAACTTTGACTTGATAAAAATATATTTTATATGCTGGGATATGCAGAAATAAGATGTTGGAATGTGTTGAGGACATGTTGCAAATTTCCACCATAGACTGATTCCGCATTGTTTTTAATTTGTTACATGTTAATAATTTGGACTACAGCCAGGAGAGACTTTGACTTGATCAAAATATATTTTATATGCTGGGATATGCAGAAATAAGATGTTTTTGGAATATGCAAAAAATATAGCTTTAAATGTTGAATAATTTTCTTCAAGTCAGAGACTAATGAATTGAATTGAATTTTGAAACAATGTACAAGATTTTAACACTGAAACTACTAGGTAAAGTAATTATTAAAGTAAAATAAAAATAAGTCATCAATTAAGTAGCTGGATTACTTTCTTGGAAAAGTAATCAGTAATCAATAACTAATTACTATTTCCAAGTATAAATGTGTGTGTTTGAAACTCCTTTTCTTACATTGTTTTCTCCTGTTTTAAGGCATCGGAAGTGATGCGAATGCCTCACCCTATCACTGGAGACATTCAGGTAAACATAAATGTTGCAAAAATTGCAACAAAATTGCAACAGACGTGGTGGGTGGGTCTGTTTGGCTCATACAGCCTTCTCTCTATTTTTTCCCCTCAGCTCCAGATCAACTATGATAGGAACCTAGGAAACCTGATCGTACATGTCCTGCAGGCTAGGAACTTAACCCCGAGGGACGATGACAGCTACTCTGACCCCTTTGTCAAGGTCTATCTGTTGCCAGGGAGAGGGTTAGTTCTGACAGTATTTAGGTGTTTTGTATTGTCTGGTCTGCGTCTGCCCTTCTTCTGTATGTGCCTTGTTTTCCACTTCCCCTGTTTTTTTTTGTTTTTGTTTGTTTGTCTTTTTTTTTTACTCTGTATGGACTGTGCAGTATTACACGTACAACCCAGGTAAAATAGAGTATGAGACAGGACATATTATTATTATTATTATTATTATTATTATTATTATTATTATTATTATTATTATTATTATTATTATTATTATTATTATTATTATTAGTATAAGTTCCACCAGCCAAAGGATAAAAGTGCGACTTATAGGAGTATCAGATACTGGTACGCAAGCGTAGAGTGCCCTCTAATGGCTGTCAAAGTGAAAATAACGAACATGTTTCAGCGGTGCAGGAGTAACAGATTCTGTGGAATTACAATCGTGTTAAATTATATATTTTAATATATAAGTTGCACCTGAGCATAAGTTGCAAACCCAGCTAAAACATGAAAAAAAGTGCGACTTATAGTCCAAAAAATACAGTATCTTAATTTATATTGTGTGCTCTTTTAAGCTAGAGAATTAGACTTATAAATACTTGGGATCCTGAGCTCCCTTTTTCACTCTGCTCTGCTGTAGTCAATGTTGTTGTTGTACCAGCCTATTCTGCTCTGCTGTAGTCAATGTTGTTGTAGTTGTACCAGCCTAAGACGAGTTGAGGGAAAATCATTTTTCATTCAGCTTTTAGCTGTTTTTTGAAAGTATCAAATAATTAAATAATGTTATATAGGTACGCTGTTAGAGCAGTTTTATAAAATCATAGGTTCTTTTCAGTTATTAAATGTTAGACAGTGAAGGTCTGCGGAAATGTGCATTCTTTCACCAGTATGTTTATCTAGCAGTATGGTGTCACTGACAGTTTTTTTTTTTGTTTTTTTTTTATCTCTTTATCTTTTATCACATACATTGCTTTGGCACAAAAACAGAAATGCATCCTGCACTGAATACTAAATGCCCCAGATCGCTGTCCTTTACTACCTTTTTTTTTGAGCTGTTGGGCTTCTCTGACTGTTCTTTGTGTTTTTGCTTTTCCTGTTTGTGATATCTGCCCTCCTCCTCCTCTTCTGGACTCCCTCAGTCAAGTCATGGTTGTCCAGAATGCAAGGTAGTGTGGTGCTGATCTTTGCTTTTAGTTGGTGTAATGTTCCTCTTTGTCTCTGGAGTGTTTCCAACCTTTTGTTATGGCCTTTATTGTTTGTCCAGTTGTCTGCGTTCATCCATTTAGGAACTCTAATGGCATTGCCTTTCCTCCTCATGCTTCTTTTTTAGCTTGAATCAAAGTGTTAAAAAAAAAAACACATCTAGAAGTGTTTCTTATCTTCACAAAAACATGATAACCATAATGCTACTTCAAACCGCAGTAAAAGAGTATGCATCACACCGTGGTGAATATTTACAGGCGAATCAAGTCAATTGAGATGGTTTCTAGTATCTTCTAAATATCTTCACTTTAGTGCCGACAACAAAAGAAGGACCAAATATGCCCAGAGGACCATGAACCCAGAATGGAACCAGACAGTCATCTACAAGAATATTCATCTGGAGCAGGTATACTTTGCAGAACTATATAAAATCAATTACCATACCACAAATACTTGATTACACACCGAGGATTTAAGTATTGTTTATGCTGTGGTACATTTTAGACCAGGCGTGGGCAAAAGTTTTTCCTCGTGGGCCACAATTGTCCTAAAATTGAACACGGGTGTCGGGTCAGGAGCAGATATTTGGGGCGTTTGTGTAACTAATATAAATGACATGTAAAAGTCATTCAAGTCATGCCATCTATTGGGAAAACGTGGGAATTGCAGGAAAAAGGCAGAAGTATAATGATAATATAAAAAAAAAATATTTGAAAAAGTTTAGCAATTTAAAAAACTAATGAGCCGCATTCCAGCCCCTGGCCCTTAGTTTCCCCATGCCTGTTTTATACCAAAAAACGAATTTATCATGCTTTTTCCTGGGGTCACATGATGCTAGTTTTCTGGCTTTGTACTTACTTTCAGCTTTTCTTTAGGGCATAATTGAAAATTGTCACATGGAGTGAGGGTAGTTGCCCTTTCAATTAAATATGGTCAGGAAATGACATAGAGGGTTTTTTTTACTGTAGGGTTTCTCACATTGTGGAGTAAGATAATTGTGTATGCAGAACATAACAATGTTTGGGTTTTGGCTTAGGGCTATACTTCTTATACGAACAGCCACAGGTTCCTCCGTGGAGCTACAAGGCCTAGCGTCGGTCAGTATGCACCAGCTACAGAAACGTAGCTGACTAGCTCAGCTAACATTTTGGGTTCCAAATTGCAAAGCCAGGACTCTACTTCACTGAGTTTTTTCCACTGAACAACAATAATCAACACCTAGTGATATTGTCAGAGATATAGATAACTAAACTAAGGCAAAAAAGAGTAGGACAGAGGCAAGCGAGAAGCCAATTTTGCTAAGTGCTAAGCTAACAGAAGCTATGACAAACACACTTGAATGAACTTAATGAAATAGCTTAAAAGTGACATTGTGTGTCATTAACAGTGAGTGATAACAGAAGGCTAGGAAACATGATGAGTGTGTATCCAGTAAAGTATCACTCTCAGTAAATGAAAAAAATGTATGCCTCTTTAACAGCACTACATATTTATGTATGAATCTTGTACAATTGTACAAGATGCCACACTCTATTCTCTCCTACTTTTTGTTTTTCCCTTTATCCAGTTAAAGAAAAAGACACTGGAGGTGACTGTGTGGGACTACGATAAGTCTTCTTCGAATGACTTTCTTGGAGAAGTGAGTTCTTTGATATACAACTCATTTAAAATCTGAGAATTCTTAAAATATCTTTCTCTGTGAACCACCCTTTTTCTTAATTTTTCTAAATTTAAATTATAATTTAAAAGGATTCTTTAAATAAGGATTCTATAAGGATATATATATATATATACTGTATATATCCAAATCTTGTTTTTGTTGAAATTCACATCTTCATTCTTTACAGTGTCTCACTAATGTCTCACTTTCTTTTTTCTGTGTGGGCCAAATGGTTTTCAGGTGTTGATTGATCTTTCAAACACTGCCCAATTGGACAACACTCCTCGCTGGTTGCCCTTAAAGGAGCAGAGTGAAACTATTGAGCATATTAGGGCCCACCCTGATATTCAAGGTCCTGGACATGGACAAGGTCAAGGCCAAATATCAGGGCTTGGGATGGGACCTGGACATGGATTAGGACCAAGTCAAGCACCAGGACAGGGAGATGGAGGTCAGGATTCACCTAAAAACTCTGTAATAAAGAGCAGAAGTCATGGGCTTTTCACTACACCAGCAAAAGGTATATGGATTTGAAATTTATAGTTTATAAATATTAGGGATGGACCGATGCATCTTTTTAATGCCCAAGACCGATACCGCAATTTGGAGTTGGTGCTGATATCGATCCGATACCTTCATTTCTCCTCCAGTATGTTGTGCAAAGTTAAGTCAAGCATTTGGTCTAGGTCTCGGATCGGACAAGTTATAGCTGTTTGTTTTCGATGCGCACCTGAATATAAGCTGAACCCATTTAAGTTAAAAAACAAACAAAACAAAAAAATTGTACATACTGTATATAACTGCCTCATTTCTTTATAAGCCGCGGGTGTCCACGTTGTATCATGGGATATTTACATAGAAAGCTGGTTACACATTAGCGCTTTCCTGCTTTGGCGCCCTGACTGTAGTCGGAATACACAGGGGAGAAGCTAACATTAGCTCCGGGGCTAACCTGCTTACTTTGTGCTTGTCCACAGCAAAGGGAAACAGAAACAGGGAAGTTGGGGGTCTTTATTATCAGACACGCCGAGCACAACGGTAGATAAACAGTGTTTTAACAGCTCCTGTAGAACCAACTCACGCTTCAAAATGATGCATCAGGCTTAAGCCTTCTCTCGCGCGCGCACCCCACGCACATATGCGTACACAGCTATTCACAGACAGACATACGCTACTAGTATAGAACACGGTAGCCTACCAGAAAAGTCATTGATTGCTAGCAGTATGAACTTCCTTAGCCCGTAAAAAATCCAGCCGCATCCTTGTTTATGTCGCAGGGTTCAAAGCAGGTGAAAAAGTAATGTCTTACAGTCTATTAGCCCGTAAAAAATCCAGCCGCATCATTATTTAAGTCGCAGGGTTCAAAGCAGGTGGAAAAAGTAATGGCTTACAGTCCGGAAATTACGGTAATATGGATAACTAAAAATGTTATCCTATGCTTCACTTTTCCTTTATTATATAATTATCTATAGACATGCAGATGCTGCCTTTAGAAAAGTCACACAGCAGCCCAGGCAGCTCCAAGTCTTCCTCTGATGGCCAACTTCGCTCTCATGGACCATCGCGGAGCCAAAGCAAGAGTAGTGTCACTCAGGCCCACCTTGAAGACGCTGGAATAGCCATTGCTGCTGCAGAGGCTGCTGTGCAACAGTCTCGACTGCAACTAAGTACGTGAGAAAGTGAGAAAGAGACAGTGAACTACTTGTCATTGTGACACAGCACACCACTCACTGCACACAACGAAATGTGACCTCTGCTTTTAACCCATCATCAAAGTGAACAGTGGGCAGCTTTAAGCGCCCGGGGAGCAGTGTGTGGCAGTGACAGTGCCTTGCTCAGAGCAAGTAACCTGAAGTCTTTTGGACCCAAGTCCGCTTCCTTAACCACTAAGCCACCACTGCCCCCTAACTTTAAGGCACTTCCTGTGACAGCCTTTCCCATTTCTGCCCCTGGTGTAATTATATTTGGCCCCTCATATCAAATGTGTATGATTAGAGCTGGCCTGTCATTATATAGCCACTATATACTGAAACAATATTATAGCACATACATTTTTGGTTGTTCTTTTGTTGGCCTAAAAATAAGGGGGGGAAAAAATACATTAAAAAAGAACTTAAAAGGCTGGAAATAGAGAGAGGCATTAATAAGAAACAATTAGAAATGAATACGGCTGGATGAGTGTCTCATTTCAAAATTTAATTTCTCATATTATTTCATATTAGGCCCATGACTTTATCCCAGTTTTTAAGCATGGCCCACTGCGAACCCATGACCTTATGTGTCTAAGGCAGATTATTATTATTATTATATTATTATTATTATTATTATTATTATTATTATTTTTTTTTTAGCATGTCTTTCCTTGCTTGCCTGCAGGACCTGGACACCGGCTTGGGGATATCTCAGGGTCGGTTGTGTTGTCTGCTCCAAGCCTTGTTGGAGATGTCTATGAAGGTCTGGATGGTGAAGAAGGTCCAGGCAGTGGTGTGGACAGTGCCATTTTTCAAGTGCCACGAATGTAAGACCATATTTGGCTATTATTAGCATAACATTTAGGAGATACGTTCAATTATGCAAGTAATGCTCTTAATTAATTTATGTATTAATTATCTTGCAGTGGTAAAACTATGCCTACTGACACAAACAAAAACCTACTAGAAACTCCAGAGAATGAAGGCAAGTTCAAGTTTTCCGCTTCAAAGCTGTTTTTTTTTTTCTTGGTGTTGTTTCCATCTACTGACTATTTCAGATATTACACCGTCTAATCATATTTTACATTTGCGTCAACGTTTACTAATTTTACGATAATCTAATTAAAGTCTAAAGTCTGTGAGTTTAATGCCTACAGTCAAATAATATGTAACATATTAATTTCCTATGTGCAACTTTGGTTATTGGAAAATAAGTAGTTGTCACTCTATCCTACTGACTGTTATAACTATATCTTCATTTCATGTAGCTCATGTGTCACAAGGCCTCTCTTCCATCTCTAGTTTCAATTTGTAACAAAGAGCCCAAAGATATTTTAGTCTGTAGCCAGGCTGTAGTTTCACATATAAGGGTTAAGAGGTCACTTCAGTGTTCACTCATTACCTATTCTTTTTTTTTAAATTTTATTTTAGCAGGAAAAACGCAAGTAATGGGGGAGATCAAGATTGCTCTGAGGAAAGAGGTGAAGACAGAAGGAGACCAGCTGGTGCTAGAGATTCTTCAGTGTAGAAATATCACCTACAAATTCAAAAGCCCAGACCACCTACCAGGTTTGTCATTCATTTATAATTATAATTATGATTATGATTATGATTATTTTTGTTGTTGTTGTTATTATTATTATTATTGTTGTTGTTGTTGTTGTTATTATTAATAATTATTGTATTATTATTATTATTATTGTTGTTGTTGTTGTTGTTATTATTAATTGATATATTATTGATGTTGCTATTGTCATCTTTCCTATTTTTCTTTATTGACATGGTACCAGACCTGTATGTCAAGTTGTATGTGGTGAATGTGGCTACACAGAAGAAGATCATAAAGAAAAAGACCAGAGTTTGCAGACATGACAGGGAGCCTTCTTTTAATGAGACCTTCAGAATCCCTTTGAATCCAACTGGACATGCCATACAGGTAAGGTGTCACAATGTGTATCATATCGTATCGTAGGACTTTCTATTTAGTCAACAGGACTTTCTTTATTGTTTTAGAAACTGTTTCAAGTCTTGTAGCTAGCGAGCTACATAGACAGATAGACTGACATTTGCAAATTTGCAAACATTCCATCATTTACAAGGCAGTTTCGTGACGTGTAAAACAGCGCCCCCTAAATATTACACGCTTTATTAGTGTTGAAACTCCCCTGTGATGCTACCTTGTTGTGGTGGGGTTGTTTGCATGCCTCGGTGACTCTGAAGGCTATACTGACGGGAGCTTATACCGCTAGTAGGTTCAACCATACCAGCAAGGTTTATAGAAAAGGGGCCAGACAAAAAACAGCAGCTTGCCCTTCAGGTTTGGGGTTGGGTTGGATTTGGGGCTACCCCATCCTACAAAAACCATCCCAGTTACAGAAACCATGTTACATGCTGGCAAGGCTGTAACCATTGCTTGGGAAATGGAGTGCTACAACCTCACAGTCCTGGGCCTGGCAGAAACAAGATGGACGAAGTCGGTTGAGACCAAATTGACCAATGGCCAGTCCATTATCTAATCTGGACACAAGGAGGCAGCAATACATACACAGGGAGTGGCCATCATGATAGCAAATGACACTAGGAAGGCTCTAACTGCATGGGAACCCATTAGTTCTTGTATCATCTCAGCAACCTTCAAAACCTGCAACACGAGAGTGAAAGCCCACATAATCCAGTGTTATGCACCCACCAATGACTCAGATGATGAGGTCAAGGCTAAGTTCTATGATGGTTTAAACCACCTTTTTAGTAGTAGTGGAGCCAGAGACCTCATCATCCTGATGGAGGCCAAAATGAATGAAAATAGTGTATTCCCCCACAAAAAATCCATAAAACAACCTGTGGGTGTCACCCAGAAACCCAACTCATGTCATAAAAAAACCAAATCGACCATATTATATCAACAAAAAGTTTAGAAGAACTATGCAAGATGTCGGGACAAGATGTGGGACAGACTTGGCCTCGGATTACCCTCTCCTGATGGGGAAATTCAAGCTAAGGTTGAAGAGACATGATCAACCAAAGGGTCAAAGAGTGAAATACAACACTGACTATCTCAGCAATGCTCAAGTGATGAAACAGTCCAAGCATATAAAATGAAGAGATACAGTTCAGAAAGAAGAGAACGAAGAAAGATGGACATGAACGAGGGATGGGGACACCTAAAAGCTTCATGGAGCTCAACATGCCAGGAGGCCTTGGGGAGAAGATCCCATAAGCACAAAGAATGGATAACACCAGAAACCCTCAACATAATCCAGCAGGGGAGAAAAGGAAAAGGTGAACAATGCAAGAAGAAGATCTGAAAAAGCAGTGGCTCAAACGGTATACAATCGCTGCCACAAAAAAAGTGCAGCAAAACATCAGGAGAGATAAGAGAGCACAGGTAGAGATGCTAGTTCAGGCGGCAGAACTGAACAAATGGGTGGAGCACTTCCAAGAGTTTCTCAATAGAACATCATCAGCAGAGAAGCATAATTGAACAGTCTATTGAATAGAACACATCCCTATACATAGTATAGGGATCCCCTGGGGGGCACTTTGAGGTGCCATGGGGGGGGCGGGGGTATACATAGTATAGGGATCCCCTGGGGGACACTTTTGAGGTGCCATGGGGGGTGGGTGGGGCTTCTGCGAGACCGATTAAAAAAATACTGAGGGAATGAAAGGAGAACCGCGATATAAAGAGGGAACACTATATCAAATGTATAAAATCTGTACAATCAGTATCAGGTGCAGTGACATTTGTAAATATATAAATGGTAGACATTAATCACAAAGGACAGCAACCTCGTCAATCCAACGTCCTGTACCTTAGGACTTTGATACTAGCAGGTGCTGTACTGTAGTACTGTTCCATTGTGTTGTTGCGGTGTTAAATCACAGCTGAAAACAAATTCAGATTGTAAGGCATGGTCGGTATGTATGTAGGAATAAAATATTTTGCCACTTGGAATGTTTTTGCAGCTCTTTTTGGTCTCTAACGGAGGCAAGTTCCTGAAGAAGACTCTCATAGGGGAGGCATACATCTGGCTGGACAAGGTGGACATGAGAAAGCGAGTCGTCAGCTGGCACAAGTTGATCGTCAGCTCCACTCAGACCAACCCTTGAGCCGAGTGTGCTAAATAATCTCCCCCTGATAATGGGAGATCATCAAAGGATAAAGCCAGAGTAAGATACAATTGAAACCAGAATGACAAAAAATACCATCTTCTTTAAACTTTTTCACTTGATGAGGTGGATATGCTAATACTATTAAATAACCATTTTATCAGTCCAACACTGCCAGCAGCCATTCACTTCTTCCTGAGTGAAGTCTCTGCCATTTGAGGACTTACGTGCACGTAGGACATGAACAAGCAAAAGTCACTGCAGAGCAGTCATGTTATTGTCACTATTCAGTTCTTCTCTGCTGCACAGGATGTTGGTGTTTTGACCAGACAACATCTCTGTCAAACAAAAAAAAAGACATCAAACCGCAACAAAGAGACAACCTATGACACGTGAAAAGTTTAGCTATTATTGTCATGTAAGTGTTTGGCCGTAAAGTCTGTGGATTTCATGTTCAATGAATGTATGCAGGTTTGCATGATGAGATATTTTGTTGAAAAAGAAAATTATAATAATAAATGACTGAAGGAGAGGTAAGTCAGGCAGGACACTGCAGTGAGTGAGGATTAAAATGTACAGTGCTTCAAATGTAGATAATTGTCAAGAACATATCAGAGAGTCACATTCACGATGTGACGTTCACGTGTACACAGAAATTTCAGATTCAGAATATATGTAACTACAACAGTGATATATGTACAAATACAATTCTTTCGTTGTATTCAAGAGGATATACTCACACACTCTCTACTGAAATGAGGCTGTGGTTGTGCACTGACAATCCGCTAGGATATTTTAGTCTGTAGTGTTTAGAAGGTCTGAAAAATGCTGTTATGTGAATGTGGACCTACAGCTTGCGAGCGGAAAGGCACTTCTTCATTTATACCGACGTACCATAAGATGTCGATCAGGGCTCCTGACTTGTCCCAAAAAACTTCAGGGTCAGCATCTAGTGACATATTGGGGCAGTTTGGATGTAATGAGCAGTTTCCGGGCTCAAATGTTGACAACCCATCTGTTAAGTATTACAGACACTGCTCAGGCCTGTGTCATGTTAGGGAATGTTCACAGTTATTTTATTTTAATTTTATTATAAACCCCGCTGCGTGACACTGGAATGGATGCATATACTGTATTTTCCGGACTATATATATAGGTTGCTCCGGAGTATAAGTTGCAATAGTGACCTCTAGCGGCTGTCAGTGTGAAAATAATGGACATGTAAATTTTCAGTGGTACAGGAATAGCAGATACTGGTACACAAGCCTGGAGTGCCCTCTAGCGGCTGTCAGTGTGAAAAAACAAACATGTGAAATGATATATTTTAATATATAAGTCGCACCTTAGTATAAGTCACAAAACACAGCCAAAGGATGAAAAAAAGTGCAACTTATAGTCTGGAAAACATTACGTTACTCAAGTTGTATAATTTATGCGGAAACGTAGTTGATGGTATGACAGGTGTGTGCGTTTATGTGAAAGGAAAATTCACTTTCAATTATGAGGTTAACGTGAAAAAAAAATATAGGAAAAATGTTCGCACCAGTTAAATGTTCCAGTACCTCTACGTCCGTGGCTGTGCTGCAGAACTCACTGTATAGCTTTGGAATCAGTGACTCCTGTTTGAACACAGTGCACCAGCCTCTTTCACTGCCTATACCAACACATTCCCTCAGACCCCACCCCCCCATCCCCCCAAGAAAACTCAAACTTACGGTCCACATATAGAAAATAACTATAACATCTACAACATGGAAAAAAAAGAATGATCCTTTTATCCTACAGCAATTTACTTAGACATTCAATGGGGAAACCTAGAGTAAGACTAAGAATAAAAATAAGGAATAAAATGAAAAATATATATACATGAATACATACATATATATAATAGAAGATAATTAGCTGATTTTTTACTTTTAATTATTTTGCTGTGCCAATTTTGATTTAAAATAATAATTTTTGGACCCATTTGGTTTTTTTTTTCAAAGTACTTCTATGCAACATATGTGTTTGAACGCATTTATTTTTTTAAATAATAGTTTTTTTGTGTGAATGCGGTTCTGAAATACATTGTGTAGAAAATGTTTTTTACATCACAGAGAAACTATTGGTAAAATGTATGATTTTCTTAGGATCCCAGGCTCTTTGTCATGACATAACGTATTGTCCTGTGTTACTTTGAATCTGACAACATGCAACGTGTGTTAGTGTTAAGGAAAATGGAGTGAATTATAAAATGTGTCCGGTGGCTGAGAAAAAAATGTTGCGTGCAAAAAAAAAAGTGCAAATATTGTGTGGTAGTCTGAACATAAAGTATAGAATCTGGAAAGTAGTGGACTAACCTTATGTGGACAGTCAACTAAAAAACATAATTTATATTTTAAAATAAAGAAGAAGAAAAAACACTAGAGTCCTAGAGTTAAAAAAAATGTTGCCTGTATTTGTGAAACCATCCATCTTATTGTCGTTAGGATTGTCCTATGACTTGTGAATATGAAGTGAATATTTTCTATAAAACTGAATGTTCATGTTGTCCAACGTTTGAGCATGTGACTGTCCAAAAAACAAACAAAAAAAAAATGAAGAAAGAGAGACTACATGAGACTTATTTGTGCAGCAAAACGCGTTTGTAATTGTAGAAGGGAAAATTAGCTGCGGAATCAAAACCCCGCTGTCAGGTCCTGACTGTCTGTACAATTACACCAAGAGGATGAAATCCTATTAGATTCCTATAGTTATCTAAGACTTGAATGTTTTAGATGTTGCATGTTCTGTTGATGGTTTGTCTGTATATTTTGCCTACAGATGATGTTCAAAAAAGAGTATGTAGAGATTTATCTATATGCTAACTGTAAAGAAATATGCTCACATCTGTGTAAAAAAGAGAATATAATAAAATGGTTTTGTGGATGTACAAAGAATATGTTGAGGTATTATGCAAAATGTGATGTAAAAAAAAGTCAAAGCCTCTCTCATTCTCACCCTATGTCCAAGAATAAATGTTTAAAATAGTTGTTGTTGTTGTCGATCAAGAAAGAAATGTTCCCAACATCAGATTTCATGTTTTGAAATAACCCTATAGACTGTTGTCCTCATATTCTGTATACACAGGTCAAAACGACCCATCTTCACTGAACCTTCAATATGAGCAGCTTAATTGAATTTTAAACACCAAATTTTGTTTGAAGAAACAACTTGTCATTCACCACAAATTGTGTGAATATCTGAGTTTTCCCTCTTCACCTGGCAGAAAGACTGAATTTATTTAAGACAACCCTCATTGCAATGACACTGTCAATTGTATTATTGTTTACTCTATAGGTGGTAAGCAATATTTTTATAGTATTTCTATAGCTTTAGAAAAAATAGAAAAGTAGGCATGCAGGTCAGTCTCATCCATCCTTTTCCAACTGTCGCCATATTTGGGAAAACCCTCCAGATTTGTCATCTCCAGGATTATTTTTTATATTGTGGGTGCGATAAACAGGTAGTGTGTTGAGGCAATGTCATGGGCATGAGAAACGGCATATCTTGTGGGTCCCGGGGTCATCCTCATGACCTTTTGTTTTGCCGCCCTGCCGTGTTTGTCATATGCTACAAAGGACAATGTTATTTTGATGTTTTTTTGAAAGGAAATTCACTCTTTCAGGTTCAGAGATTTCTTCTTCTTCTGAAGATGAATCATCATGCTCTGGGTTGTATTCCTCCCCATCTTCTTCTTCTGAATCAAAGTTGTCTTGTTGGACATCTGATAAAATCCGCTCCAGAGCCTATTCAACGTTATAACACACACTCATGGCTTCAGCACAGAGAGAATTTGGGGTACTGTCATCTGCAGCACCTTTATAATCTCTGGGAGTCCCCACAGACAAAGGGGCAATATTGTTACATTTGAGTCAGATCGGGTCACAGGCAGTGCAGTCCGTGAAGAAGACCACCTGTCTTGTCTTGTTTATGTCTGCTCCTGATTCATCCGACACAGACCTAAAACATTCTCACATTCTGTGGTGTGTAACTAACTCTGTGACTGTGATTTTAACTCAATTTGACTGTCAGGTCATTCTGACCCGAAGACAATATTTGTACCTTTTTTTGTACAGCTTACATGAAAATTTGAGTAAAGGCCACAATTCACTTTTTCTGACGTTGGGGTCAATCTAGGAAAAGTCATAACATTTCAAGGATTTTTCTTGGTTTTTAACACAGTGGTGGGTCATTTTGATCCGAGGACAACAGGAGGGTTAAAGCAGCCACAACGTGTTATTGTTCTTACATTTCTATGTTATCATCATAATCACATTTGTGTGGGAAGGAGTGCACCTGGAGGTATTTCTATACTACCTTTTTGCTGATATCCAATATTGTCCCATCCATCCATCCTTCCATTTTCATCTGCTTATCCGTTACCGGGTCACGGGAGCAGCAGTCGCCACCCAAATCACATTGCACCGTACCAACACCCCAAACCTTCCTGCGGATGGTGAGTCCACTGGAAGGTACCAACCCCCCTAACAGAGACATTGCCTCTGGGCCAAAGCGCCTATTCCAATATTGTCCAAACACTTAACACTTTCATGCATGACGGTCTCTACAGTAGATTCTCAGGCGTCCACTGTAGAGGCTTATATGCAACACTGCCATCAAAACTTAATCTTATCATAGAAAATTACATTTTAATACCTGTCCACTGTAGTGACCGTCATGCATGAAAGGGTTAATTTCTGATATCAACCGATACCGATATAGTGTGACAGGTTTTTAACCCTTGTGCTGTCCTTTGGGGCTAGGTGACCCGGTGGCTGAAATTATGCCTCTCGGTTAATTCGTGTGTGTATGTGTGTGTGGTGTGTGTGTCAGAATTACAAGGTTTGGACCCAAAGGCAACACACAGAAATGACCCAGATAATGAGTTCTTTTAAACAATCCATTTACTGAACCAGTGTCACAGATGCAAAATGCCTCAAGTACAGTTAAAACAGTGGCGTCTCGGGTTAATTACTCCAGGAGCGCCCGGTAACAACAGTCTATCGGTCGAAGATAAGGAAATACCCAAGGAGTGACGTCACCGGAGCGGAGTTCC